CAGTGCGCACTTAGCTGTCGCCGCAGGCGAATGTTTGACGGCACTATGGTTATGAACGGAAGCAAAGAACGTAAGGTCTTGACCGAATTCTTGTCACTGTGCTGGGATTTACCATGTCTTAATTTTTTATAAGATAGGACGAACGAGCACACAGTCAACCTGATGGTAAGTAGTTACTGCGGCCCATAGACATCTACGTCTATCCTCGATTACGAATCAAAATGCAGATGATCAAAATGCGTTGTCACCCGTGAGGACTAAGATGGAATGTCTCGTTTGCAGTAAAAAGGGTCTTCGGTCTCTACACTTACCATACGAAACACAGCAGCCTTAAGCTACTATTTCATGCTGGTATTCTGTGAGAGCGTGGTCCTTCCCCGGTCGAGCCGGCGCATTCGTGCTACCACTATATAATATAAATGCAGTATGGCTCTACCACGTTTCATCCATTTTCTTTTTTTTTTTCTCTTTTTGAATCTTCACTCAAGCATAGAAACGGTGAAGCTAAACCGATTTTTTGTTGTTTAGAAAAGCAAGGAGCCATTTTTAAAAGTAACTACTTTACGTCTTTACTCTTTAAATACCAGTGACAACTGACAAGTTGAGTCAACCACCCGACCGTGTAGAATGAATACAAAAATCGGTTGACACGACCAAGGTCACGACGGTTAGTGGTTGGTCACGACCGTGTAGAAGCGCTTTTATTTATTCTGTGGCGTAGATAATATTATGTCATCACGTGTCGGTAAGTTCTTTAAAAAGAAATTAGAAATTTAATATTTCTTAAGGTATCTTATTAGAAACCCCAAAACCCCATTTAAAGCAACCAAAAAAAATTTTCATTATCATAATTGCCATGCCTATGTGTACACCTATACGTCCCCGAAACGACCAACAGGGTTTTTGTTACATACGTTATAAGTACTTCAGCACTTTATATTTCTACCTTACAAGTTGACTTTTTGTTCAGGAGTCCGAAAAGACAAAGTGCTGATTGAATAAGAATTGGTATGAATACACCTAGAATCGAAGTCAACGCTTATACGTATATATAGAGTTTTTTTACCTACGTCATGGTGATCCAAACTACCAAGCGTCGTTTAGACCTAGAACTTATAAAATTTATGTATGAGCTAATATATGTTTTTGTAGCTACAATCTGATTTAATTGAACTAATTGTTCTAAACCATCTACTATGAGTCATGTAAAAAAGTTCAATAGACAGTGACGTTATTTGTTTTCAAACAAAATTTAGAAAAGTTTTATTTTTATTTTTATAAAATTGCCACATGATTCATTTGGATTATATAAGTAGGCATTTGATCAGTCCCCTGTGGTAACAAGAAAATTGTATATAGTATGCTTTAATTATACGATCGAATGAAGTTCAGCCGTACACGATGGTATGCTTTATACTGGGGAAGGACAACGCACTCAAAGAATACCAGGATAAACCAGCAAATTCATACAGCTGTATTTCATTTGCTGAGCGTAGAGGACCGGCAACCTTTTTAATTTGAAATACGGCGTTCCATCTTAGTTTTTAAGAGTGATTACGCATCTGCAATTAAATTTATAATCAACGATAAATGTAGATGTATATGGGTCACAAAATCCATTTACCATCGTGTGGATTGTGGGCTCGTTTTTCAACTTTATTCGATAAAAAAACTTGTTCCTAAAAGGCATGTGGACTATGCGATTACGTATTGTCGATGCATCAGGTGGCCTCATGGGCACAGAAAACAATATTTTGAAGAGATAGACAGTAAAATTGTTTTACGAAATATTATTATTAGTGGAATATTAGTGTGCCGTGTAGCGGCGGTTGAGAATATCCACTACCCCATATCTTCCCGTGGGTGTCGTAAGAGGCGAGAGAGAGACAGAGAAAGGAGATGGGCAGCAGCATCTTCCTAATAACAACAATAACATAATAAAAAACTGCTGTTGCCAACCCGCTCGCCAAGCGTGGCAACTATGGCAAATATCCCCCCCATGAGCAACGACGTAAACAAACGGCCCCCAGTCCCCGGCGGCCCCGCTATTCCTGGCTACGGTGGCGATCATGGTAACGGCGGGGCAGGGGGTGCTAAGAATCTCCGGTGGAGGTTCGGTTGCCACCTACGACGACTCGACCTGGTAACGTATAATGCACGCACCCTGAGGACTGACGAGAAGATACTGGAGCTGGAAGAAGAGGTAGACAAGTTGCGCTGGCATATTATTGGATTATCTGAGGTCCGAAGAGAGGGGGGAGGACACGGTAATCCTCGAGTCCGGCAACTTGTTCTATCACCGGGAGGGCGACCATCTGTCCCAAGGAGGTGTCGGATTTATCGTCCACAATTCTCTCGTCTACAACGTTGTAAAGATTGGGAGTGTGTCGACGAAGGTCGCATAACTGATACTCAGAATCACCAAACGGTATTCGCTGAAGGTCATACAGGTCCACGTACCAACCTCGGCACATCCCGATGAGGAGGTGGAGGAAATGTATGAGGATATTTCTAGAGCCATGCATTCCTCCAAAACCCACTACACGGTGTTACGGGAGACTTCAACACAAAACTAGGCACAAGAGAAGGCGGTGAGCTGAAGCTGATTCACTTCATTATGACGATCAGACGCCAACTGTTCAGTGATGTCTCAGTGATCGCAAGGGTGAAAACTGGCAGCGATCACCGAATGGTTAGAGGCACACGGAACCTAAACGTTAAGTTGGAGAGGTCTCGTCTAATGAAGTCAACGCTCCGTCCCCCTCGTGCTCTAATCCAGAATCCCGAAACCTATCAGCTCTGGTTACGCAAACACTTTCAGTACCTAGAAGATTGCAATGCAGTGGACGATATTAATGACAAGCTCGTGGAAAATGTCAATGCGGTCGGAGCTAAGTTCTGCAAGACCCGCCATAGAAGAACACAAAAACTCTCCGATCACACTCTTAATCTCATGGCTGTTAGACGGGAGATGAGGCTGCAATCGTCACAGATTTGACAGCATACAGGCAACTGAACAGACAGATCTCCAAATGCATGCGGCGAGACATACGCAACTTTAATACTGCTCGTATTAAAGAAGCGGTCGAGCGGAACCAGGGCTCCAAAGTCTTTGCCAGAGATCTGTCTGCCAGAAAGAGCCAACTGTCAAAGCTGAAGACTGAGTATGGCAGCATCGTTTCCGGGACACCTGAGATTTTGAGTGAGATTGAGAGGTTCTATGGGCAGCTGTACACATCATCGTTGGAGCCACACGCAAGTGTGAGTAACGATCCAAGAGCAAGTCTTATCCGACACTATTTCGATGATATCCCGGACGTCAGTCTGAGCGAGATTAGAATGGCTCTCCAGCATCTTAAAAATTACAGCGGAATTACAGCGGAGCTTCTGAAAACGGGTGGAACACCGGTACTCACGATTTCCAGCCTCCCGAACATGCCGGTTTCTGAAAAGGCTTCAGTACCATAGAACATATACATACCCTGCGGCAGATTGTACAGAAGACCGAAGAGTACAATTTGCCACTTTGCTTGTCGTATGTGGACTATGAGAAAGCCTTTGATTCCGTCGAAATTTGGGCGGTGCTACAGTCTCTTCAGCGGTGCCAAGTTTACTGTCGGTATATCGAAGTGCTGAAGTGTTTGTACAATAGTGCTACGATGGCTATCCGAGTACAGAACCAGAGTTCGAAACCTATCCAACTGCAGAGAGGTGCAAGACAGGATGACGTTATATCCCCGAAAATCTTCACCGCTGCGTTGGAAGACGTTTTCACGCTACTGGACTGGAAAGGATACGGTATTAACATCAATGGCGAGTACATCACGCACCTTCTATTTGCCGACGATATAGTCCTTATAGCAGAATCGCTGGATGACCTTAGCACTATGCTCAATGACCTCAATAGTGTCTTCCCAACGGATAGGTCTTAAGATGATCATGGACAAAACAAAGATCATGTTCAATGTCCATGTCACACCTATGCCGGTAGTTGTTGGGAGCACTATGCTCGAAGTTGTTGACGAGTACGTTTACCTGGGACAAATAGTCTGACTAGGTAAGTCCAACTTCGACCGAGAGGTCAATCGATGGATTCAACTCGGCTGGGCAGCGTTCGGGAAATTACGACACATCTTCTCGTCAGGTATACCTCAATCTCTGAAAACTAAAGTGTACAACCAGTGCGTGTTGCCAGTGATGACTTACGGTTCTGAGACGTGGGCCTTCACTGCTGGCCGTATGAGGACGCTCAAGGTCGCTCAGCGAGCTATGGAGAGGGCTATGCTCAGAGTTTCTCTGCGTGTTAGACTCAGAAATGAGGATATCCGCAGTAAAACCAGAGTGACCGTCATAGCCCAACGAATTAGTAAGCTGAAGTGGCAATGGGCCGGACATATAGCTCGAAGAACCGATAACCAATGGGGAAGAAAGGTTCTCGAGCGGCAGCCTCGTACCGGTAGGCGTAGTGTAGGGTGACCCCCCACAAGATAGAGTGACGACCTGATAAGACATGCAGGAAGTCGATGGATGCAGGTGGCTCAGGACTGTGCTTTGTGGCGTTACTTGGGGGAGGCCTACGTTCAGCAGTGGACTTGTGAAGGGCTGTAATGATGATGATGATGAATTGGAACTAATAATAGATAAATATTTTGTGCATTGATATCTTTCTCTGATGAATAATAATTAATAATCACGACTTTAATAATTTTAGCAAACAATGTATAAGCCTAAATCAAAGCCTTTTGAAACAACCCAGTTTGAATAAACCAATTTAACTTTTCGTAAAATAAAATAGGGCAAATGTATGTCAAAGAGACCCTTCTTTAATTTATGATATGAGACTCAAAGTGCAAGTAGAGTTGGAGAACAACATTGGCTTATGAATTTACAAATTTCATTTTAATCAGTTTGTAGCTATATCTTATTATTTTATTATATATATTATTATCTTATCGATGAGAAAGATAGATGAACAGAAAATTCACGTCACTGAGATGAAAATGCTACGTTGGTCTGGAGGAGTTTCTAGAACAGATAAAATAAGAAATGATTACATTCGTGGTAGTTTTAAGGTTGCTATGGTGTACGAAAAACTTAGAGAAAACCGTCTACGCTGGTACGGACACGTGATGAGACGGGACGATGATCATATGACTAAAAGAGTTATGAACATAGAAGAGGGGAAGAAAGGCCGTAGACGACCACCAATAACCTGGCTGCAAACAATAAGAAATGACCTGAAATCTATTAACATATCAGAAAGGACAACCTACAATCGCAAGATGTGGCGCAGGATTACTAGGAGGACTGACCCCAATTAAAATGGAATAATAGCCAGGGAGAAAAAGAAGAAAAAGAAGCTATATCTTACTCTATGTGTAAATTCAGCTATTACATCAAAAGCCTATCAAAGTCCTCTTCTGAACATAGGACTCCCAATATATTGCCTCCCAATGTATTTTTTATTTATTTAACCTTTATTGTACACCTTTTACTAAGAGATATAAAGCGCTGATTTAGTGCCTTATAGCATTCTCTGCCAGTCAACCCTGGATGATTTGAGAAACTGTGGCAGGTGTAAACAATCACTCCATATATTTAAGAAATAAATAATAAAAATATAAGATAAAATAAAATAAGTACAATACAGTTATTAAAAATATATATTCTTGCTGATTATATAATATAGAATAAATAATAAATATAACGGGTATTTATATACAAAATATTTAAATAAACATAATAAAATATTATAACACAAAAATAAAATAAGATAATACATATTAAAATACACTATATTATATTACAGTAAAAGGGAGAGAGAAAAAACAAGTTGGATAAGTCAAGTGGCAGTATTCTTATGATAGAATTCTCAAATATAGTCTTTTAAAATAATTCTTGTTAATAGTTTTTTTGACTCAAACGGCCAGTCCTCCAGAGCAGTATGGACTGTACAGTAAAAGAGGAATTAAAGAAATAACTCTTATGTCGTGGAATATGAATTTTAAGACTATTTTGGGAGTGGGGAGCTATATCGTGAATAGAATACAAATACCGTAAAATGGGTTGAATAAAAATCGCGGGGTGAATAGAAACATGTCTGGTTGTTTGATAAACTTGTCTCTAGGTTTTATAAGATTTCAAACACGGGAAAAAATATTAGAATATAATAAACGGTGGAAATAAACACACGTTCCAGATCTGTAGAAAAACCTAGAGACAACTTAATCAAATAACCAGATTTGTTTCTATTCACCCCGTGGTTTCTACTCACCTCATTTTACTATACTAAAAGTTATCTTTAAGATAAGAAGGAGATTTTGGGTCATTTAAAATTGAATATAGAACTTGTAAAGTTCAAAAATAGAGAGCAATTTAAGCTTAGGTCGGGACTGGGAAACATGGTCATACTTACGTTAGCCGAAAATGAACCTAATGCTATTGTTGAGAAAATGCTCCAAATATCGAGAAGATATTGAGATAAATCTATGATGGGTCGTAATGGTAAATAATCGATATTGGGTAATATCAAAGTGTGGATTAGCAGAAATTTAGTTTTTAGAGTCAGAAAGTTTTTGTGACGACAAAAAGAACGTAAGGTGGAAGTAACTTTACGGCTTATTTCGGCAACTTGTACTCGCCAGATTAAGGTATGTAAATCAAGATTTTTAACAAAATTACAGAATTGCAGCAACGTTCTGTTGTAAAATTTTCCAATGTTCCAATTTGGAACGCTTTTCCTTCCGAAATCAGGAGGGCCGAAAACCGGATTTCGTTCAAGTCCAAAGTGCGAGAACTTCTCGTCAATAAAATGTCAGAATCAATTTAAAGTTCTTAGTTAACCGTGTTCAATAATTACTATATATATATATATATATATATATATATATATATATATATATATATATATATATATATATATATATATATTATTATATATATATTTATTAAATTTCTGTACTTCTTCTTATTATTATACCTACTTCTTTTATCTCTGCACTACTCTAAGGTAACCTGGTAGATAATGCCTCGAAGATAAATAAAGTAAAATACTGGAGAAAGGTTATCGTTATTAATCTAAACTAACATATTGCTACTACCTATAACCATTGCTTTGCATTTGGATGAGTTAACCAAAACACCACGTCTGTACGTCCAATTCCTTATGGCATCGAGGTTGTGGTTGAGTTTATTAATATTAATGTGAATGTCGTTAACAATATATTGCACATAGAGCTGAAGATCATCTGCATACAGATGATACGAACAGTTGAGAACTGAAGTGATAGAATATATGAATAAAGAAAACATTATAGGAGAAAGTAGTCCGCCTTGCGGCACATCTGTTTCAATATCAGCCCATGTTCAGAACTATTATGAAGGCTATAAGGATATCGTGGTCGACTGTGTGATCAAGGAAGGAATTTTGAGTCTCAAATATTCCAGGAAACTTGCCGAGTTATGGGTACTCATAAAACAGGAACAACTTCTTACCACCCGCAATCTGAGGGAATGGTACAACAATTTAATCAGACATAGGAGAGGTAAGCTAGAGTGACGTTCGAGATCTCAATTTAACCTGTTTGGTAGCAGAACCTACAATTGACGGTAAAGTCTCTTTTCTTAATGATAAAGTTCTCTGCTTGTTTAATGCTCATGCTTCTGTCCATAACGTCAGGTTTAGGCGTATACATCACTCGCCCGCGTCCCTCCAGCTTTGACAAGCAAGAAACCAAAATTAAACGTTTTTTAAGATTATCTGATAAGCAAATCTCATTTATTTTAATAATTTCAGTTGCCATTCACATGAAGTGAAATGATGAAAGTTAGGTCCTATTTGACTGGATGACGCAAGTAAGTTATTATTATTACGAGTCATAGGTTTTTTTCCTACTGAAAACGTATTTAATTATATTCTTAGATTATTGTTGTGATTGATACAATAATTAGTAAACCAAACTACTAAGTCATGTCATGAGCATTGTATAAAAATATATTCATGTGGGGTAGGAATTAATATAACTATTGTTCATTGCTTATCAGTATGCTTTTGTTTAAATAGTATTGTTTAGATAGTATTGTTTCCAGGATGAAGATTCTGAACATTTCCGAGCGGGGATTTTAAAAAGCTACTTATCATAACGAACAAGTCCAGGATATATGCACTGAAGCAAACTTTTGATGCGAGGAGAATATTACGTGAAAATCCGCATATCTAAATTCCGCGAGCTGGAGGCTATTCCATCAGCCGACCGCTGGCATCATTCTCTGATCAACTTTAAATCAGCTGTCAACGTGAAAACTCCAACGTGGAAGGCTGTTACCTAGTTGGTATCATGCATCAAAGAATATTATCACAACATTCGTATAGCTTTGTATCCAACTAATCGTTAGTTTACAGGTTTCTTTAAGAAATCTGTAAATCACATTTTTTTAAATACCTTTAATAATGTGTTGTTGCTTTTCAGAAAAAGTTGAAAATCAACAAAACTATAAAACTAAAAGTCAAAATCTATAAACTGAAAACTACTCTATTATGATAAACTGATCTATATTCTATATTTATACCATAATAATAATAATGTTTTTTGCAAGAGCTTATTTAATTACTTACTATTTTTAGCGTAGTAATATAATGAGTGTTTTATCATATATTTTTTTAAAATATTTAGTAACTGGCTTAATACTTTTAATAACGTGTTATTGTTTTATAGATAAAAATGAAAATCGAAATAAAAAATTATAAAACTAGAATTCTAAATCTAAAAACTATATTTTATTATAATACACTTGTATGTATTATATAAGTAATAGATAAATTTATGGCTTAAGTTACATGTATTATCATGTTTATAACTTCATATTAATTTGATAAAAATAAATAAATAACATATTATAAATACAATCGTTGTAACATTAAATGCCTTTTTCTTTTTCGCTCTAAAAATTAAGTAATGATAACACATAATAAAAAAGCAATAAAATTCAATGTTTAAATTTTATTATATTTTACAAGCTACACTACTTAAATTACTTGTTCTCACATAATTTTTCACTTATTTTTTTATAAGATAATTTGTATCCACGTGTGAATCCACGAAATATTGAACACTTATATTAGCACCAAGATCGTTGATGACATTTTGTTCTTGCTTATTAAAGTTCGAAAATTTGTTGACTTTAATTAGACTATGACCTCGTTTATTTTTATCTTGGCAAACAATTTATCATGATGATGATTTTTGTGAATGGTTTCTCTTCCTGGAACATTTCTTTGATTTCGACTGCAGCTCTTCATTTATAGCTATTTTATTTAGTGGTAAATAATGACGCCGCTCCTCTCGGTTGTAATAATTTAGTATAAATTTATTCACATCCTGAGCATAGTAATACGGATTAGTGATACGAGGGGTACACTGAAATGATCGGGAATAAGAAAAATCCACATGCACGGTATAGCTTAATTGTATTTTATTGTTTTTCGAAGTATTCTCCGTTCAACTTAATGCACTTTCCATTCGTGCAAACCAATCATTAAAACAGTAATTCCAGTCTGAAGTTGATGTTGACAAAATGGCTGATTTTTACGATTCCACAGCTGCTTCGGGGTCTTCAAACCGTTGACCGCGTCATAAATCTTTCATTCTAGGGAATTTAAAGAAATCGTTTGGGCTCACGACTGTACGAAGGACGGCTCATCAGCTCAACGTTTTCCTGTTTCAAAAAATAATTTGTCTTCCGAGCCGTATGGGCATTATCGTGATGTAAGATGCTGCGATGTTTCGGGTTATTTTTTCGGAATTCGGCTATCATTTCTGACAAAAAACCATGATATACCACTCAGCGGTAACCTTTCTGCGTTCCTGTAAAGAAAATGTAGTAACATGCCCCTTTTTCGAGACAAACGTAGCGACCATTTTCTTTGACACGCTGCGGGAGCGAACCACTTTCGTTGGTTTGACCTCGTCTTCTCAAGACGTGAAGACCCAAACTGCTGACTGATGTTTTCTTTCGAGTTTGTATGAATAAGTCCATGATTCGTCACCTGAGAAGATATTATTAACGGCATTTGACTTCCCTCCGTTGAAGCATTGCAGAGTATTCCGGCACCAATCTACACGAGCCGCCTTTTGCTCTTCGGACAAATTGTGGTGAATCCAGCGGGAAACTAGCTTCCTTACACACAGCTCATTATGTAATATCGACTGAATTGCAGTCATTTCGATACTGTTAACAGCCCGAATCTGCTCGTATGTCACATGACGGTCATCTAATATAATAGTTCGCACAGCTGCGCTGTTTTCAGGCGTGGTCGCTGTTC